TGAAGCCAGGGACTGTTCAACAGAGCAGAAAGGCAGACCAGTAATGTAGCACCAAGCCCTTTGTACAACCCAAAAAAGCCTTCATCTCTGCAAATGGTACGAAGAGAATGGCAGATGCCCTGATAGTATATGGTATTCCTCTGCAAAGTTTAAAAGAATCAGCTAAATGAAATGCTGAATACAAATTTGTGGAACAAACAAATAGCCACAATCAACGAAACTTGAAGAACCAGTTCTTATTACATGCTTGAGTCATACTTATGGATTAAATAAAAAGTCACAATCTAGACAATTAGAGCAATAGCTTCCTTTTTTTGTATGTGGTCCACGGGCATAGACACAAGTATAACAGATGAAAAGTATGACATCTGCCAAGTATATGGACCATCTACAATCTAAGGACGACATCAACTTGATGCTCCAATAATCAAACAAGACAGGAAACCAACATAATTCAGAGCGATAACTAATATACCCTGTTCTACTGTTCAATTGATTAACAAGACCTACAAGCACTGCAACATATTTATACCTGTGCAGCTAATCTTGTTCTGACAAGATCCAACGGATAGGTGGCAGCAGCTGCTGTAATTCCAGCCAATCCACCACCAACAAAGTGCACGAAAATATCCGCACCTGCATTTCGCCCTTTACCATCCAGACCAGGAATTGATTTCAATATCTGCCAACATAACAATTTTCAGAAAAGATTGCAACATGCAAGCTGACAGAAACATTTTGTGCCAAATGTCATATAGACAAAGCTATGTCATAAAGTACTCACGCTCTTGTAGCGTTCATAAGCATAGAAATTGACTGAGGAATAGGGAAGCCTGTGAGCAATAGTGACCAGGTTCCCCTTCCAAAAAGCCCTGAATCCTTCTTCATTGACAATACGTAATGCCTCACGACATATGCTGGGCTTGGTCAATACTGCAATATCTGAATGCATACCTTGAACCTACGAATTGAAAACTTTCATACAGTAAATTGAACAGGATATCAATGAAAATAATTGTTGGCACATCACTATAACTATATTTTTGACTAGTCAAAGCTTTTAGGTTTTATTACTCATCTTTCACTTAATCATATGGACTTACGAAGTTCACTTAGTCAAATCTATAGTTAAACGCACATGTAAAATTTCTCATCCTTCCCTACATTATTGATAATCATACATTTCTCCCTCACTACAATACCAAACCATTTGACGAATTCAAATGACACAACCCAACCTATAAAGAGAACAAATTTAGAAAAGACTCAACCTTTTCAACCCCATATCTCACCTTTTACTTAACTATTCAATTGAATCAGCTAACAGTAAAGTTCTTCCAGAGCTCAAGATCTTAGCTTTAGAAACCCCCTTAATTATGCTAAAAGACAGAAAATTAAGCATTCCTCTTTGGAATCATTCTTGTCCTCTAGAAACTCCACTCCCCATCTATCCTATTTCCTTTTTCTGTCTAAATCTTAACTAAGAACAAAAGAACCCGAACAAAGCGAAGGAGTCATACTGTACAACAACACACCCAGTATAATCCCACAAGTGGAGCACGCAGAGCTTAAAGAGGCTGTTTCAGAAAGACTCTCAGCTCAATTGGTACTCCATCATATAAAATAAAAAAAACATGAGCTGATTTCTTCTCATATGTTCTATCCTTGTGGACAGGTATCCCGTGGAATTAGTCGAGCTGCAGAAGCTAAACCAGCTAAACCGAACACAGGAAAAGTAAAATAAACTAGGAGGGGGGTAAGAAAAGAAGGAATACCTGAAAAAGAATGGTGAGACGGGCAAGGGGAGCAGTACAAGTTTTGCTGAAAGCACCAGCAATGCCACCAGCAAGAAGCTGTGGGACAGTACCAATCTGAGGTTGAGGCTGTGGCTGTTGTTGCTGCTGTTGTGTATGATAATGATGATTTTGTTGAAGATGGTGTTGTTGGGGCTGTTGTAAAAACTTTCTTGCACCACCTTCCACTACACCACCGCCATGTCCAGATACACCTACTCTTGCTTCCATTTTCTTGATCCAATAAAAAAGATTGCTTTTTTATTGATTAGGTTTACAAATTTTACAATTGAGAAATTGTAAAGAGTTGAATCATCTGATTTTGGTTAAAGGGTTTGAATTTATTTTTTGTAAACAGAGAAAATTGTTATGGAGAATTTTGTTAAACCCTAGGGAAAACCCTAAGGAAGAAGGCTGATTTGAAAGTGGTGTTCCTTGTTTTATGAGAACCAAACCTTTGTTTGGTGTAATGACTTTTTTCCAAAAAAAAAAAAAAAAAAATGTTGGAGAATATTCTTTTTTTTTTATCTCTCTATGCTTTGTTTACTTGGTTTAGGCTTTTCTTTTTCTGTTGGACTTAAAATAGGCCCATTATAATTTGGGCTACAAAAGCCCAATGATAAAAAGTGGATTAATTTAGCAAAGTAACCAATTTTAATATTAGTAATTAAACATTAATCATCATTTTTAAAACTATTAGTAACATTTTGCTACTCTTTTGACATATGAATCTTGCTAGTGATAATTAACTACAGCCATAATTAACCGTAGTGATTGATGGTGATAGTTGGAGTTGGTGGTGATAGAAGATATTGATAACTAATAGTGATAATTGGTCATATATAGTGAAAATTAATGGCGGTGTTGAGGATTTGTAGTGGTAACGGTAATTGGTAATAATGATTTTAAAAGGTGATAATCAATTGTATTGATTGATAGTGACGATGATTGTGATGGTAGAAATGATGGTAATTGATAATGGTGGATAGCAGCTCTAGTAGTTGATACTATGGATTGATGGCGACAATCACTAATACATAATAAAATTAATAAACGTCCATCTTTGTAAAAATCCTTAAATAAACAACTTATTATTATCCAAACTTTATTACAAATCTTAATTATTTGAATATATGTAAATCATGTATAACATAATAAAAACAAACACACAAAAAAATTAAAATGTGAACAATTACGATTCAAACCTGAAAAACAGATAAACTCAATAATCGGAAGTAGAATGTTTGATATTAAGACATTACGTGCAAACAATTAAGACCTTAATATATTTTTGATAATTAACATGGAATACACGTGCACCACACGTGTTCAATTCAAAGAACTAATCCATCTGAGGGCAATAGTGACATTTGATAGTTTTCTGGTATATACGTGTCTTTAAACCCCTCAACTGACTTGCCAGATTTGTTCATCTTTCTTCTTCATGCTCTCTTCAGGTGAGTTCAATCTGTTTCTTTTCGAAGAATTATAGTTTGTTTTTTTTCAATTATGACTATTTTATTTATATATTGTGGGTTTAATTAGAAATTGTTAATGCAATCTAGAGAATTAGGTTCCTTTACGATTGTTCAAAACTTTTTTTTCTCATTTTTTGGGATTAAGATTCTAGTTTGATTTGTAATGAGCTTTAGGGTGTGTTTTGGTACGGAGGAAATACAAAATTTTCCAATTTTTCCATATTTGGTTGGTTAGAATATTCGGAGAACATTTTTTCTAGGAGGAAAATGACATCCCTGATGGAAGTACGGAAAACAAGTTCCATAAATGTACTTGGAATCAGGGGCGGAGCCAGCAGTATGGGTTCATTCGAACCCCCTCGACGGAAAATATTACTATTTATACATGATTAAATTATTATTATTTTTTATGTATGTACAGTAGATGTCGAACCCCCTTCGATTAGTTCGTATGTTTACTTCTTCAGATTTTGAACCCCTTATTAAAAAATTTAGTTCCGCCACTGCTTGGAATAATATATTTTTGGTTATTGATCAAACACTAGAAAATAAGTGAGAAACTTACTGGAACATTTCCGCAAAATGCTTATTTTACCAAACACACACTTAGTTGAAAATGCTTATGTGGGTATTCCAGGAAGGATTAGTTGAGATTTGTAATGCCTAGAGACATCTGCTAGAGGTTGTGACAAGAAAAGGCATACGTTTTGCACATTTTGAGGATAAAAAACATACCTAGCAGGGGCGGAGCTACGCTTGCACACCCCCTCGTTGGAAAATTACATGGTATATATAGGTCAAATTTTGATTTATTAAAAATATATACTAGTGCTGACATTTCTTTAACACAAGGTAAAGGTTTAGTGCAGTGGTTAAGGTGTTGCAAAAGTTCCTTGAGGTCATGTGTACTTGCCTTGCTTGCCCCCATAATTGTATTTTTGACTGCAACCGTTGATGCCCCTTACTGAAAATCCTGGCTCCACCACTGATACCTAGTTGATTAGATTAATAGTGTCGACTATTTGTAATGCATTTCTTTTTCTTTTTCTAGAAAGAAGACGTGTGGTTAGATGTTATCTATAATTATATTTGAAGTGATGGATTTTAAACCTAGCACTGAGATATGTTATCTCATCCTGGTTAAAGTATAAAAAAGACATACATTTGCTAGCTAAATATTACGAGTGTTATCATGTCAACAGTAAATATTTGATCATCTTTGTCTGGTTGATACATGTGAGGATGTGAGATAATCACGCGGAGAATCAGCATCATTTTCTATTGTAACTGGATAAAGAGAACTATAAATGCAATCCCTCAAATTGCAGGTATTATTGAAGAGTTTGCAATGTTTTAAAAGAATTTCAAGTGGACAAAGAATGCGCTTTCAGGATTGAAGCTTCCTCACTTTATGCCTGTAGCTTATTTGTACATTATGACAGCCTGTGTCTACTATAGTTTTATTACAAAAGAGTATCACTGCAGGGATCTATGATCATTTGTCACCATTTAGTCGTGATGGTTGAAATCATCGGAGGTCATTAAGCCAATGGTTTTTCATCTTAAAGTGTCCAGATTTAACTCTTTGATTGTGATGCTAAGTTGTGTAATTACTCCCCTAAAGAAGGATGGAAACTAAGGGTGAGAAGAAACTTAAATGATTGGGTGTTAACTGCACTAACCGATCTTCTTTTGTTCATGCAGGGTCATCGAGGTAACACGGATGAAAGAGATAGAGTATGGTGGATTCCTAGCAGTGATGGTGAATTATCTGTGAGTTTGTAAAAAGACAATTCATAAGGGAGGTGAAATTGTTGGAGAATAGCTAGAAAAACAAATCTAGGACACTAAGGTGACCTGTTTCACGTGGTTAGCATCCCGTCGATCTTGTTTAACACATAAGGATTCGATTACTGGTATTTCTTAGTTCATTTCCATCTAACCAATTGGAAGTTCCCTCTGTTTTATCTGTTCATTATTTTCTGAAATTTTCCATGTAGAAATTTGAATATTTGGTTGAAGCCTGATTGTATTCCCTTTTGTAAGGACTTGGACATTTTCCTTTCTTTAAGTTGTTAAGGTAAGCTGTAGAAATTTGAGTGTTATGTTCTGAAATTAGTCGACTGATGCCGTTGTTTTCCCTGTAACAAAAAGGGGTTCTCTGAATAACAGGGACTTAAAACATTTTTCTCTCCTTTTCTGTTGGTTCAATCCAGACCAGCCTATTTGGTGTTAATTGGTTTAATTTCAACAACATTCTTGGTTTTATCCCCCACCCCCCACCCCCCACCTTAATCTCTTACATTTGATTTTGTAGGTTAATCTTTTTAAACCTTTTGTTAAAACTAGTTTTATGCTTTTCAGGTTGCTACTGTATTACTGGATTGATGATAGAGAAGTTTGATCCAGATGGATAATTTACCAGCTGAATTACTTCTGGAGATTTTGGGACGGATTAAAAGAACTACTGATAGGAACTCTGTATCCCTAACTTGCAAACGCTTCCACAAATTGGATAATGGGCTGAGAATATCGATGCGCGTAGGGTGTGGTTTACATCCTGTCTGTGATGCATTAACTGCTCTATGCAACAGATTCCATAACTTGGAGAAAGTGGAAATTATTTACTCTGGTTGGATGTCTAAGTTAGGGAAGCAGTTGGATGATAACGGTCTTCTCATCCTTTCACGTTGTTGCCCTTTGCTCAAGGACCTCACATTAAGTTACTGTACTTTCATAACGGATGCTGGTCTTAGTTACTTGGCTTCTTGTTCGAAACTTACATCCTTGAAGTTGAACTTTGCTCCCAGAATTACTGGTTGTGGCATCTGGTCTCTTGTTGTGGGCTGCAAAGCCCTCAGTGTGCTTCACCTGATTAGATGTCTTAGTGTCAGTAGTATGGAGTGGCTAGAATATCTCGGAAAACATGAAATGCTTGAAGATCTCTGCATCAAGAATTGTAGAGTGATTGGAGAAGGTGATTTGATTAAGCTTGGACCTACTTGGAGAAAATTGAAGAGACTGCAATTTGAGGTTGATGCCAACTACAGATATATGAAGCTTTATGACCGTTTAGCAGTTGACCGATGGCAAAAGCAATCGATCCCATGTGAGAACATGCTTGAACTTTGTTTAGTGAACTGTGTTATCAGCCCCGGGAGAGGACTTGCATGCGTAATAGGGAAGTGCAAGAATTTGGAAAAGATTCACTTAGACATGTGTGTTGGGGTTAGGGACTGTGACATAGTATGTTTGGCCCAGAAATCAAGCAATCTTCGATCAATCTCTCTCCGAGTTCCATCAGACTTCTCCCTTCCTCTGCTACAAAACAATCCATTGCGGTTAACAGATGAAAGTCTAAAGGCAGTGGCTCAGAACTGCTCTCTGCTTGATACGGTTAGGTTGTCTTTCTCTGATGGAGAGTTCCCTTCATTTTCTTCCTTTACCTTAAACGGAATACTTATGTTAATACAAATGTGTCCAATAAGAGAACTTGCTCTTGACCATGTGTATTCTTTTGACGATATTGGAATGCAAGCTCTTCGTTCAGCACAATATCTCCAAATCTTGGAACTTGTAAGGTGCCAAGAAATCACTGATGACGGAATGCAGCTTGCTAGCCAAATTCCTCAATTATGTACATTACGGTTGAGGAAGTGTTTGGGAGTGACCGATGATGGGTTAAAACCTCTCGTTGGGTCTTACAAGTTAGACTTGTTGGTTGTAGAGGATTGTCCACAGATATCAGAAAGGGGTGTTCAAGGAGCTGCAAAGTTGGTCACCTTCAAGCAAGACTTGTCATGGATGTACTAAGCTTTCCCATTTTACAAGTATTTTTCCAGATGTTGTACAGGTTAGGTTGTTCCGTCTATACGACTTTTTGTACAGTCATTCTGTTTTTCATAACAATTCTGTAATCTGCAACACAGAATTCCCTATGTCCACATGCATGTTGCATAATAAAGGTTAATTTGAGTGTGTGTTTCCTATGCTTCGGCTACCATATTATTTGTTGTTGCTGTGTTTTTTCTACTTGACTTCTTCGCTACTGTATTTCATTTTCATACTATTTTTGATAAGTTTTACTTGAGTCGCGGATTTATTAGAAACAACCTTATGGTATGAGTAAAGTTACGTACACATCACCTACCCGAACTAACACTTGTAGGATTACCTTGGTGTGTTGTTGCTGCTTCCATTCTCTATGGACTATGAAGCATCTATATCTCGTCACTAATTTAAATGGAGCTATACAAACTTCCTTAGTTCTTTTACAATTTTCAGTTGCAATTCTTGTTTAATATCAATCCAATATTTTGCCAAATGACTTAAAATTTTGTAGATAACTCTTTAGATTATTGTAACGACCTTGGTTTAACTGTTAAGATATTATCCACTCTAAATCTAGAGTCGCAAAAAATTGTCGCGTGCGGTTTTAACCCCAAAGACGCCCTCAAGGTTGATTTTGAACTCATTCTTATAAGGTTTTAACCTTCTTCTCCATTATTCAAGTGTAATATCCACTCTTTCTTTAGAGAAATGCACTCATATTTTTATAATATTATTACAATAATATTTTTATAATGGCTCTTCTAAAGCTACTATTTACTTTTACAGCCCTGAATAAAGGAAAAAAGAAAAAGACAATAATTATTAAGATACTGCACCGAATGTACAGAAACAAATTATTACAAAGCATCTCAATTTATTCTCATCCATAAGATATATACTTCGGATATGTGAAGTTGTTTAATTGGATTTTTTTTAAAAAAGTTACTATTATATAAACAAATTATAAAGATTTGTGTAATTATATATCATTTTAATATATGTAGAATGAAAATTCAAAATCTATTTACTATAAAAGTGTAAAAAGAATAACATAAATTGAGACAAAAGAAAATATTTAGTGTAATTACAACAACATAAACAAACATATCAAAATCAGATATTGAAAGAAAATATACTATGAAAATGTCATGCTAAAATAAATTATTAGATAAGAACAGTAAAAACAACAAATAATATCGAAATCAAAAGCAAAAAAGCAATTGATAATAACAAAGATAAAATTAAAGAATATTATATGTTCCAATAATTTTAAGGAAAAATAATGAGATAATTAAAGGCCCACCCCACCACTAGAAAAAGTTAAAATGGGGAATTAAAAAACCTTTTAAGTACTGCTCCTTTTATAAAAGATTCCCAAATTTCTTTAGGAAGAAGACATTTTATTAGTCTCAGAAATAGTGACACAGAACTTATTAGTTAAAAAAAAAAAAAAAGACAGATTGAAATGATTGTTCAATGGAAAGCTGCCCAAAAAAGAAAAACATGCAACCAAAACAAACAAAGATAGCTCATGCATAAAGCAACCTTCATCATTGAGCCAAGAAGCAAAATATAATATAAATAATAAACTGAGCCAGGTACAAGGCCTCTCAGATCATTCCGCCTTTAAAGAAAAAAGGATGACTAAGAAGATAGATAAATAGCATAATTTGTTATCTATTAATCACTTTCTATTGAAAACAACAAGAAAGATATTTAATTCTAAGTATGTATTTTGTACTAAGGAAAATATTTTCTAAAAAAACATAAAATTCTAGTGTTCGATAAGTAATCAATACTATAGTTCCTTATTGCATCATTGCATCACATAATTTTTATCTCTTCCTTATTATTAAGCTATTTTAGTCAGACTCATAATACCAAATGCATCGATATGTTAGTATATATACACACAATACCACAAAGAAACTGGACATGATAATTTTTAATCATCCAATTCGAGCAAGAATAAAATAAATCCACATAGTATCCATATAAAATAGTACTTAAACATATTTTATGTTATACTTTTTCGGTCATAGATCTTCCTTATGATTATCCTTAAAAGAACTTTAAATAAATAAGCATAAATCTTCAATTAAATTTACACCCCATAACTCTTTCTCAACCAGGCTTTGGACGAAATAACAGAGCAAGTATTAATAGCATACAACAAAATATTATAACTATGTTATAATATGTCCAAAAAAAAAAAAACGATGTCACACTAGACGTCCTGCTTTTTTAACTTCTTCATTCAACCAGCAAAATCATGCAAGAATTGGCCACCAACCATAGTATTATTTCTTCCAAATTGTCCATTTTGTTCATCAAATCCACCAACAATAAACCTTCCACTATTCGTATTATTATCGATACCAAAACGTCGAGCTGCATTCATCGGAAATGGCTCCGATAAACCAATATTACCGGAGTTCTGATGAAGCCCTAACGTTAATGACACACCACCACCAACTCCAGTTGACAAATTTCCGTTATATGATAAATTTATTGAATCTGCGATTCTTCCAATATTATTGGGAATATTTGCTAACTCATTTCGAGTTCGTTTTGATGGAAGGTCTTGTAATCTTGATGTTGATGTAGATGGAGTATTATTTTCACATGCATTTGAATTACTCATAGGAAAATGTTCAATTGGATTATTATTGTCGTTGTTGTTGTTAGGTTCTTCTCTCTGTGAAGATTTATTATGACCTTCTCGAGTTTCAAGCATGTGAATCTCCTCTACCATAGGTTTCCAAAGTCTTACTCTCGCATTAATGAACCAATTAGAAACCTAAGCATATTATCATATTATTAATCCGATAAAAATTATAACTAACATGTTATAACAACTATAGTAATAGTGTAAAAATATGTTGAAAGTGTACAAACCTGATTTCTTGAGAGGCCAGTTTGTTTGGCTAACATTACTTTATCGCTGTCCGTGGGGTAACTGCAATAATAATATTAGTGAGTAAAAAAAAATAGGAGACACAAATTCATATCATTGTTGAATTCCTAAAACAAGAGTTTTAACTTTCTCCATACTTGTATGTTTTAGTTTGACCAGATGTCGTGTTTAAAAAGACGGTGTAAAGAAAATCTTTGAATTTTGTGATTTTAAATTAAACTTATATATAATGTACTCTTCTCATCCTAAACTAGTTGTTATATTTCATTTTTTAGGAAGTCAAACTATGTAATATTTTGACCAATGCTTTAAAACACGCTTATTCATCAAATTGATATGAAAAAAGCTGCAACTTGTAGTACTTTTCATATAGTTTTTGAAAATATAGCTAACCTAATCAAATTCTACTTCAAAAATTAGTCAGATCAACTCTCGACGAAGTGAAACATGACAATTAATCTTGGACAGACCGAGTACCGAAATGCTCTTTAAATCCTATAGTCTTAAACATATCAAGTTAACCGTTGGAGTTAAAAAGTAGCTATATGTAGATAATTATATTTGTTTACAAACAGATTAAATAAAGAAAGTAAGACACGTAAATTGATACTTACGGGTGAAGAAAATGGTCAAACAACCAAGCCCTAAGTACAGTGACAGCACGTTCAGGGAGCCCTCTTTGTGGTCTCCAAACAGGTTGAGTTTCTTGTCTTTGGCAATAAACTCCTTTGCCAGAAATTGCAACAGCTCTTTCACAATTAATTTGACCATGCATATGATGTGAAGATTTGCTTGTTGTAAATTGGAGTTGGTCAATTATGGCATCTTTAAGGCATTTGAAGTGTTTTGACATAGTTTTTATAGCTATGTTTGCAAATGGTGCTGCATTTCCAAGTCCAGCAACTGATTCAAATGATGCCACAACCATTTGTAGTTGCTCATGATATTGCTTGTACTTATGGTATACCTGAAAATAACCATCACACTATGTAAATGTCGTTAAAGATTTTAGCAACTCTGAATGTAATGATATTGAAACAACTGCTGCTAGAAGGAGAATATGTTGTCATTGAAATGTCTCTTTTGTTGTAGTGGTCATAATTAAGTATATATATGTGTTGAATGTGAGTTCTCAATATGAGATAACGGGTTGATTTGTTAGATCATCGTGCAACTACTAGTTATTATTATAGAAAGTTAGACTTCTTGATTCTAAATTTCTTCAACAAAGAAAGTGACTTTTTTTTAGTATGACTTAAGCTGACATGTATGTCTTCTAACTTTAAGTATGCATAATTAAACACTTATATATACTTATATAAAGTTGAACATAAGTAAGCACACAAGTTCTATAAGACAATTAGCATGAGATACACTCAAATTGAAAAAAAAAAATAGAATCTTGAATCCGTAAATTTCAAATCATGCCCCGCCTCGAAATGACAACAACTAAATTTATTAGATGAAATTTTAACCTTTATACATCAACAACAATAACCACTCCAGTATAATCCGACAAAATAAAATTTGAGAAAGAAAGTGTATGTAAATCTTTACTTTACCTTAAAAATAAAAAAATCATTATCGATAGAGCCTCAACTAAAGAAACAAAACAATCCAATATAAAATTACATTTTATACAATGAAAATACAAGATTAAATTATACTACTATACGAGTTCAAGAAACTACCAATAAACACAAAAAAAGCCATGGTTTCAATTTTATTTTTTATCGCTACACAAATGTTTTATATCATATACAAGCGCACAAAATTTAAAATTTATATTTTTTATTTAAATTTAATATCGAATCAAATTATATCACAAAAACTACAAAAGAAAGATATGAGCATTTAGAATTTTCTTATATATAATTGAGTAGGACACTTTAATTAAGGCACCAATTTTTGTGCATATATTCCCTAAATCACCTTTTGCCAAAAAGATAAATTAGTGATTTATAAGAACCTGTACGCCTATATCACATAGGCATCTAGCCTAGGTATCCTTTAATTCAATAAAACAAGAAATAAATTACACTTTAAAATATTACTCTACTATATCTAATATAGGTAACAAATATTTTTTTATTACTACCATTTTAACTAAAAAAAATTTATTACTCTTCAAGAATGAATGATGTTTTTAACTATGACCTTCAAGAATGAATTATGTTTTTGTTTAAGAGAAACCAATTAACATACTTTTATTAAATAAAAATATTTTAGTAAATTATAT